TGTATGTATGTATGTATTGTTGAGTGGTGAGTTGTATGTATAAGTGGTGAGTAGAAGGTTGTTGATAGTCTTAGAGTAGTAGAGATGAGAGATGAGAGATATTCTTTTATTGATATTGATCGATGACTTGATTTAAATACAACTTCAACTTGGGAGATACGAGTGTCTTTATACATTTCAATACCAACTCACATCTTCAGCTTAACCAAAGGAATACCGTTCAGTCGGCAGAGCGGCATCACCATAGCCTCAAGCCATATCCACAAGGGTATGGATGGGAAGCTCGAGTGGCTTTCCTAAAAGAGATGCGGATATTTAGTTAGGAAGTGTAACATAACATCAAGATCAACCTTGACGCCTGGTGCATCCTCTTAGCATGCGAGATGAGAGAATGCAAGTCTTCAGAGTCGAATGATATACCAAACCTGGTTTAGCGCAGGGTTTATTCTAAGTGGCTGTAACCTTACTTTCCCTTGTAGGGCTGTTGATTCGAGTGCCGTCGTTCCGTCTATAGGGAAGCTCAGCCTCTAACAACTTGAACAAGTGCGAAGACTCTCTCATGACGATGGCTCACGATGCAGGTGAGATTGTGGCTCCTAACTAAATTGATTAAAACTATGGTATCCTTTCGAGATGCATTTCTATCCATCCAAACCTGTGGATAACGACTTTCAATCTAGTTTGGCTCTCCCGTCTCTATTCTCAGTGCATGATGATAATCATTCGGAACTGGACTGAACTTGTGTCTTTTTCGACAAGCAATTCGATGTAGTGACTTGAATTAGTTAATTTACCTCATACTCAAGCTTTGCTCTGTTGGTCAGATCCAAAGGTCTTGCAGATACTGTTAGGTAGGTACCTACAATACAGTCTTGAGAGGCCCCACACACAAAGAACCCCAGTGACGTCGAGTCGAGTCGAGTCTCTCCCAAAAATTCTCCAATCGATAACTTTAACCCCTCCATCGGTCTAAAATCCCATACTTTGACAATACCGCAAAAAGAAAACTCCGGAATCACATGCCCATCACTTGTTACTAGACGCTGTTTCTTTGCTGGGGTTTTGGGTCAATATTTCAAACCAAGACGATGCCTGTATGTTCACGTCATACAGCCACTTACACGCTGCCCCTCAGCTAACAGCCATATTCCACAAGCTCATCATCGTCTCTGGACTGCCCACGTCTGGCAAGTCAACTCGCGCAAAACAACTACATGACTACCTCTCCAAGCGGATAGTTGACACGAAATACCGTTTGCATCTCATTTCCGATGAATCTCTCTCCATATCCCGCACCGTTTACGACCTGTCTCCCGATAAAGTCCGCGCACATACCCGATCTGCGAATGCCTCAGAGAAGGATGCCCGCGCTGCCATCTACGGGGCTGTTAAGCGCGTACTCAGCGACAGGGACATTGTGATCCTGGATGGTTTGAATTACATCAAGGGCTGGAGATATCAACTGCACTGCGAATCTAAAGCTGTGCGCACGCCTAGCTGCATATTGCAGATCGGCTGCTCAGTAGACAAGGCACGAGAAGCCAACGAGGAGAGAATACGAAAGAAGGAGACCGATCCAACCAAGGCCATGGGGGGCGAAGAGACGACACCCGATGCGAATAATACCGACGATGCGATTGTCGATTCCACAGAGCCATACGAGCCGGATAACTGGGACAACTTGGTATTCCGATACGAGGAGCCCAATCCGATGACCCGATGGGATAGCCCACTCTTCACACTCATTTGGGAAGACGACGAAGCACAAACAACAAAAGTCTTTTCCGACCTCTGGGACGCAATAGCTGGTGAGGCCCGAAAGGTTGTGCGCCCAAACCAAGCAACTATACAACGCGGGAGAGAAGAAAGCGGCGACTATCTATACCTTTTGGACAGAGAGACATCCGATGTTGTGAAGCGCATAGTGGAGGCGCAGCGTGAGGGCGACAACGTTGATGAGGTACGGATACCATCTGGGTCCAATGAGCTTACGATATATCTACCAGCAGGGAAGAAAGTTGGTCTACCACAATTGCAGCGGTTGAGGAGGGCATTTATGGGGTTGAACAGAGGCGGTATCGGATTAGAGGCCGTGGGTGACATGAAGTCGTCTAGATTGAGGGATACGTTTGTGACGTATCTGAATGATGCGTTTGAGAAGGACGAGTGAAGCTACTGCCTAAGAAAAACGACAGTTATTGTTGGCTTTGAACTCGTATTTCAACGGCATGGCTTGTTGGAATGTCGTTTGGTGGATATTCAACATGACCTCATTAACCGTGGATGAAAATATAGTACTGGACGTCATATTGCGAATACCCATTAAACATCCATATTCACGCAACATCACATGCGCAAAGGCAAGACCTGCTCTAGTATTTGCTTGCGTATGAGTTTTGAAGCCCAACAGAGCTTGTCATTGGTCAAAGCGCTATCCGTAGACCTTTTAGGGTAGCTTTACTCTATGCTTTGACAGTAATGTAAAAGGCACGGGCGTAGGCACACATCAGTCGGTCAATGTCACGGATGGGTGGAAGACAAAGTATACATATTCGTATAGCTTGTATCAATCCACGCATGCACTATGTTTGTAAGCTGTTTGCCTCTCCTTCTCTCGAAGCATCCAGTGTCTTGGTGCAAAAGGTGTCAGTGGTTAATAAGATATTACAAAAA